TCCACAGTACAATCATTTTTTGACACATACCATAATAGGAAAGGCATTCAAGAAATTAGAAAATTTATGTGAACTGTATAATTCATGTTACAAGCGTAATCAAAATTTATATGGAAGCTACGTTTGAAAAACAAAATTTCAAGAAAGTTACATAATTCCTAAATTACCTTACAAAAATAGTAGAACTATTTTAGGCGTTGAGTTTTTCTATAGTCACTCTATGTTGCATTAATATTGTAATTAAACAACTTCGTTGGGATTAAATAATTGTAGATAAGAAAAAAATTACATTATATGAAAATATCGTCTAAAATTGATTATATGAAAGGCAAGTAGAACATTCTTTTTTTCAAATAATAAGAGGTACCTACGAAGGGTACCTAAGCTCTGTTATGTGCACAAAAATACGATTCTCTGGTTCCTAGATCTTATTTATTTTTCAAGGTACGATGTACGGTAAACGTCAGCGTCATTGACACTGACCGAAAGTCTCTTTGTAAGCAATGCTGGTTTGCGTTGCGATTTATTGCGCCTCGTGCGATACATATTCATCGTGTGAGTTCAAACCGGAACTATTCCGGCTGGTCTAGGAATCAAGAGGCTCCGGAGACAAAGACTTTTTTCAGTCTGAGAAGGAACACCAACGTGTGGAACAAACATCGCATTATCGAGGTCGAGAAAGTCGATACCACCGAACCGAGATTGAGGGAAAAAAGTTGCCAAAGTTGGAGGAATATTTTCTTGGGGATCCCTAACTGTCTCCGTTTTTCTTGTTCTCTGCCGATCGCGGCATATAAATATTTAAATCGTACGGAGGACATTGTTTAAATGTTTAAAAAAATCTACGACAGAACTATAATAACTTTATTGAAAATCTCTGAATATTTGGAAAATATTGGATACCATTTCACAACCGTGTTTAAAATTGAAATGCTTTGCAAATGAGAAGAGAAAGATTCGAAGATTCTATAGACAAAATTTGAATAACAAAATTTTATTTAAGTCATTAAGCTGTCTATTATACTATACATCGTCTAAAACTGTAATTGTTCAATAACTCCAACTTTTATTATTCCTGTGAACCGTTCGCACTTGGTTCATCCTCCGTGACCTATAAATGGGCGTTGGAAGATTACGTAACCCGGTACCAGTTCCCCATATAAACACGCTGGAAATGTTTGAACTTACTCGATCTATTAAACGTAAATAAATAACGATTTCCATTGTCTACGATTTCTGATCAAAGAGTCCCTTGAACCCTCCGCACCGCGCGCGAGATTCGAAATGATTAGAAAAAAAACGGACGAAGGCTAACACAAAAGAAACATTCTTCGGCTTGCGAGGGAAAAAGCGTTCACCGTCTGTCAACCTTGTTTACACGAAGATAAATACCGGGAGACTATCAAGAAATACAGCCCGTGTGACAATCTTGGGGATAGCAACGAGGCCAAGGGAGTTTTCATAGGACCGAACGGTGACAGACCTCCCCCTGCACTTGTTGTTATGCAACGAAGCGTGCAGGCCCGGCTCTCGAGTGCCGGCTAGCGAAATGAGCGAAATAGCGTTCTTGTGGCGCAGAGCGCACGTGCATCTGGAAGGTTCACTGTACCGCAGACACTTTTGTACACACGATCGCACATAACCTCCCTCCGAGTTCGAACCGTTCTTCGGATTCTCTATTTTTTTCTCTCCCTAACCGGCCTACAAGAACGCAACTCGTCTCACGCGCCGCGGATGTATTACACCGAAGAAAAGAAAAATAAGAAAAGTTCGGACTTACCGCAGACGTTCAGCCAACCCTCAACGCGACAGGGATACTCCAGCTTCATGATGAATTGTTGCAGCCGAACACCAGGTACCGGAAACGTGTTACACAATTACACTGGTCACATAAGAAAACGAATACAACGGCCCGTAGTCAGGACGTGTTATCACTGTTAAACAATATCCGCGGCACACATTCTTTTCGCGTGCGTTCACGTGATACCACGAGCGAGGGATTTCTTTATTGAATTTGGACGAAATCGACGCGCGGCCTGGCAGGACAGACACACGAAATCGCGGCGATGATAAACGCAAGAATCTATCGGGGCTATCGTTACGAACGCGAACGGACCACACCGTCAGGCGCTGCGCGCGCAAACCGTCGACACGATCCACGCACACCGGCGAACAAATCGGTACTGACTGAACGAACCCTTTCGCGTCCTCGTTGAGCCGATCTTCTATCTCCCTCTCTCTCGCCCGGCTCCGCTGCCAATTCCCTCTCTCTTTCTCTCTCTGTGTGTGTCTCTCTCTCTCTCTCTCTTCCTCGCGCGCGCTCTTGTTCAGGTAGTGCGCTCATCTCGTGTACTCCTTGCACATTATCGATACGCCGGTACGATTATTTTGTTATTTTGCGTTCGCGCCGATGCGTCCGGGCAAGATACATTAATGAATTGAACGTAGGTTCTCCAATGGAACGTAACGATTATCGAAGTGCGGTTTTGAAATGGCGATCGATGTATCGAAACGAGCGTTATCAGCGCCATGTTAATTATTTAAATTACCGGCGAGAGATATGTTCACAATAATAAAGTTCGAGTGTATTAGATATGGGTTATAGATTTAATGTCAAGCTACGGATTCAGAGCAAACGTAATTAAAAATTTAATTATATGGACTAACTTACATTATTTAAAAATTTTTTAAATATTAACCTTAATTATTGCACATGTATCTCTTGTATAACCAATATAGTTTCAGTATTATATTGCCACATCGATTTATTGATTTTTATCCAAGAATTTAGATTTATACCGTAAGCTTTAGTGTGACATTCATAAATATGATAATAACAAATTATGCTTTTACTTGTGACAGTTAGCTTTTGACAATATTGAATGTTTATTACCTAACTAGCTTCTTGTATCTATGTTTCAATAAGATCAATACCTTGTGGATTAATGTGACCTGCTCTAAAGATTTCGAAAAAGCACGGTAATTGATGAATTGTACTTACATTATTGAGTAAGAGTTAGAGCGTCATCGATTCAAATGAAGGAACCCTAGTAGATGATCATAGATTCAGATAATTTTAGAAATATCTTTGACTCCGTTTCGAAGCGCAACCTGGTGACCAAACCAGCAGTCAGTTACTGGCAAAATGGCGCTCAAGGCACAAGTCGGTCAAAGTAAGTAACGAAAAAAAAATTAATTTTCCGCGACGGTGACCAAATTTTCAAATACTTTCACGCTGCTACGTGACAACAATATCTTTGATACGTTTCACGCGATAAATATGCTACCTAAACCACTGTCAGGCTATGTAACCTCCAAGGGGCGTATGTGCTGTGATGATTTCATCGTTTACGAAGCGGCTGCTTGATAGAAATGTCAAACCAGTGTTAGTTCTGTTCTGAAAATTCTATATCCTCAATTAAATTGTATTGTCACATGAAGTCACGTAGATCGTTAGATTTCATATCTACTGAAATTATAATCTCTCACTGACATAAAGTTATTTTATCAGTTATCCTCTCTGAGTAAATACGTAAATATTGACTAATAGCCTTGCATAATTCTTACTGGCATTGAATACATGTTTTTTCTATGTTTTTCGCAAATAATATTAATTCTTAAGTAGTTCTATGCAATCCGCTTCAAATATTTATTCCTAAATGACATATCTGTTCGATTTAATTCCAATAAAGTAAATGTCATTAAAAGTGATTAAATTTCATAAGACGCCCTTAAATATAAAAAGTGTAATATGTACGTATCGCGAAAAGTTACTATTTTTTAATAATTAATAACAATAGATTTAAAGGGTTATTTAATGCTGTCAATTAACCTCCTTGCCCTTTAAACAATTGTTCACTCCTATTATATCGTTGCCATCAACTTTTAAATCAGCGTGAATAAGGAATTATCCTTTCCGTGTACATTGCAGAAGTTATGATTGTTTAATGCATAATTCTGCATTACGGAATCGTGAGTATAAACTTAATATCAATCGGTGTGGAGTAACTCAATTAAGAAATCGATTCTTTAAAGAATGATATTGACCTAACACTGAAACCTAATTATTGATAGTTTTTAATTAGCGAAATTTTTCGGCGACATTGATTTAGTACCTAAAACTATAGGAACCCCTGTGCTTTTTTAAATCTGTTAGATTCCTTTAAATAGGGCTCTGTGATCCGTAGCTACGAACCTGTCCTGGGTGACGTCATTGCTCTGTAAGAACGATCAATACACGTTGAGAGCGCGAAAAGATTTCTTATTTAATTTAAAATCACTTGAGCATAATTGCGATTAATTATGAATAAATGCATGTGGCTTTTACACAAATAAATGAAGGTACATTGCGGGCTATACCAAACTGTTGAATTATTCAAATGTAACTATACATGCCCGTGTTATGCGCAACAGGAAACGAGTACGAAAGGAAAATATAACTGCCATTGATTTACACGCAAAACTATTCCGAAAGCGTAACACTGGATACAATTTCAAAGGCTTGCAATATTCTCCATTGATATTTTCGAACATATTTATTCAAATATATGTATAAAATTTTTTCGATTTGTATTATTTATATTTAGTGTAAAATAATGATGAGTTAATAAGTAGGACGACGGAAGAATTATTGGAATATTTATATATAAATATAATATAATATATATTAAGAGAGAGATTTTAAGATTAATTTATTAAGAATTATTGGATATGAGCTGGAACTATATTATCATTTAATCGTAATTCTGCAGTCGTCAATGTAATCTCGCAATCGTAATCTCGTAATCTCTGCAAAGCCATTATTGTTAAGAATTCTATGAACTATTTCTACCGTTATATTTTTTTTTCGCAGAGATTATGAATGAGATCATCAAACAGAAAAAGGCCTCAGATAGTGGTACTCCGTGGCGCATTTTGGTAGTGGACCAACTAGCCATGAGGATGGTATCGGCATGCTGTAAAATGCACGATATCAGTGCCCAAGGAATCACTCTGGTAGAAGACATTAACAAAAAACGGGAGCCATTGCCCACCATGGAAGCGATCTATCTGATCACACCTTGCAATAATTCTGTCCAAAAACTAATTGAAGACTTCAGCAATCCGACGCGGACCATTTATAAAGTCGCGCACATTTACTTCACGGAAGGTACTATCGTACGTTTTACGTTGCATCGTCAAAGTTTCGATAAAAAAGAATTAATTCAATATCCATGACACTATAAATTTAACAGTGAAACCTCAATTAATTTCACTGACGTCGTCCTGTAATTTAATATCCCAAACAGAATAGTATTCGGTACTGTTGGCATTAAATTTTCAACTTACAAAAATTAGTGATCCATTGTAAAAATCAACTTATGAAACAAATGTAGATAGGATAATATTCATGTTTTGTGTAAGAATATTATTTCTATCAAAATTTATAGACTGAGTGTCTCAGCTAAAGAGCTGCGAGTGTCTCAGCTAAGAGTTTTCAGCAAAAAAATATTTACAGTTAAATTATTTTTTACGATACGATTTAATGATAAACAGGTTGTTACTATAACAAGTGCAAGCTGTTCACACTTCATTCCCATTTCTTTTAATTTTTGTTTAAAACGAGCACACGTTTAAGCAGCAAGATTTTACGAAATAATTAAAACGATTATACAAGAATGGACAGACCGGCACATTCAATTTCCTTGGTCCACGTGAGACTCTTAAGTATATCTCTTTACAGTGTGTCCCGACGAGTTGTTCAAAGAATTGTGTCGCTCGGTGGTAGCTAAACGCATAAAGACACTAAAAGAGATCAACATCGCTTTCATTCCATACGAGGAACAGGTAAAGCAAAGGGAACTCTAACGAGAAAACGAAATGTCTAATAATTTTACGTTCTTCGTGGTGGCGGGCGCACAAACACACACTCTCATTCACACCAGACATACCCTTTACACACGTACACACACGTATACAAACTATGCCCGACGTGTTGGTGGTATTTTTTGAACTCGCGAGCCTAAATCTGAATTTGTTCTTGATGACACGACAATGTTGACACGCAATCATTTTGAACTATCAACCCCCTGTCTCCTAACTTTTCCCTATTCTGTATAATATTCACAATGTAAGCACGTACTAACGACGGAATGCATTCATGCTTGTACGCGAACAGTGTGTCCGGAGGAGCTGTTCAATGAAATCTGCAAGTCTCTCGCCGCTAAAAAGATCAAAACCCTCAAAGAGATCAACATCGCTTTCCTGCCTTACGAGTCGCAGGTGACGATCAAGAAACGAAGAAACTGTAGTTGCTAGATAATGCCACGAATCGCAACGATTACCTTCAATTCTCTAAGTTTCGAATAGCAGACTAGTTCTATACTTTTTCAGCTTTTTTTTATTTTGGAAAGTAGAACATAGGCGAAAGACTTCTATGAATACCTTAGTGTATATATACGAGGTTGTTTGATAAATAAGATGTAATTGCTTGCTGATAACATATCTTGCGTCATGTCGATTACCATTATAAAACAAGTACAACTACAATTTAGTAGTACTAGAAATATAGAACTCAAAATACCGTAGAATTGATCGAAGCAGATGTTATTAGCAACAACTCGATGTTATTTATTGAATGATCTTCTATGTTTCCTTTTGTACGAAACATTGTTTTCATGCATGCAGTTCTGTATACCCTTATGATTTTATTGAATATCTTTCATTTCTCTATGTATATATGTATTCCACTATTAATCGCACCGCTTAATGCACCAAGTTAATAGCTTCCTTTAGTTAAATAAATCTATAATATTTGTATGTATGTAAATAAATATGTATATAGGTCTTCTCCCTGGACTCGCGTGAAACGTTCGCTTGCTTTTACAACGCGTCTTTCGCCAACTTGAGGACTGCCAACATGGAGAGAATAGCCGAACAAATAGCGACTCTCTGTGCTACTCTTGGAGAATATCCGTCTGTTCGTTACCGAAGGTATACAAATACAATTTCTTTCTATTTTTCTTAAGACTTGATCAGAATACTATATTGAACCATCAAATTTCAGTGACTTCGACCGAAACGTGGAGTTGGCACATATGGTCCAACAAAAATTGGACGCTTACAAAGCGGATGAGCCGACTATGGGGGAAGGACCAGAGAAAGCTCGTTCCCAATTGCTCATCCTGGATAGAGGATTTGATTGTGTTTCACCGCTGTTACATGAGTTGACGCTGCAAGCTATGGCATACGATTTACTAGATATCGAAAACGACGTTTATAGGTAATTAATATAACTTACATTGCAGACTCTAGGTTGACATGATATATTGATGCAGATAAATTTGTCTACAGGTTCGAAGCGTCAGCCGGAGTGCAAAAGGAAGTATTATTGGACGAGAATGATGATTTGTGGGTAGAGCTTAGACATCAACATATTGCTGTAGTTTCACAGTAAGTTCGAATAATTTGATTGGCGGATGTTGAAGACTAAGGCAGAATAAATATGTGAACCGTTTTTAGAAACGTTACCAAAAATCTGAAGAAATTCACGGAATCAAAAAGGATGCCTCAAGGAGACAAACAAAGCATGAGGGACCTTTCACAGATGATCAAGAAAATGCCACAATACCAGAAAGAATTAAGCAAATATGCAACGCATTTACAATTAGCCGAGGATTGCATGAAACGTTACCAAGGAAACGTGGACAAGCTGTGCAAAGTAGAACAAGTACATATTTATGCATTATTTTTTAATAATAGAATTCTTACGCTATAAAATTCTATTTAACTTGTTACTCATTAGGACTTAGCGATGGGCACAGATGCCGAGGGTGAACGTATCAAAGATCAGATGAAGAACATTACACCCATTTTGCTTGATCAAACTGTGCACCATTTGGACAAGCTTCGAATTATCTCTTTGTATGTTATTAGTAAAAATGGTGTCACCGATGAAAATCTGAATCGTTTAGTTCACCATGCTCAAATATCGGTGGATGACAAACAGACCATAGTCAATATGTCAAACCTTGGCATTAATATCGTAGTAGATGTAAGTACTGTTACTTTAGGACTACAAATAAGTTATTCAAATAAGTTATTATTTTTTATATTAATTTCCTGTATATTATTATGTTATCCAACAGGGTGGTAACCGTAAGAAATTGTATACTGTACCACGTAAAGAGAGAATTACGGAGCAAACATATCAAATGAGTCGTTGGACACCGATTATGAAAGACATTATGGAAGACGCTATTGAAGATAAACTTGACTCCAAACATTTTCCATTCTTAGCCGGCCGTGCTGCCAGCTCGGGTTACCATGCTCCGACCAGGTATAACACGAATTCTTGTATCAAAAAAAGGTACAAATGTCTTGCACTTGTAACAATAAATCATTATTTATTTTCAGTGCGCGATATGGCCACTGGCACAAAGACAAAGGCCAACAAACCATTAAAAACGTGCCGCGCTTGATTGTCTTCGTTGTTGGTGGAGTCTGCTTCTCTGAAATACGATGCGCTTACGAAGTAACAAACGCTTTGAAAAATTGGGAAGTGATAATTGGTACGTACATATGTATATTCAAGACCTGTATTACCTTTTCGCAAAATCGTTTTAACACCAAACTATTTCCTCTTCCAGGTTCGTCGCACATTATTACACCGAAGTCCTTCTTAGACGACTTGAGTAAACTTCATGTGTGAATACATTTTCGTATAAACGGAACAACAAAGAATACATTCCCGTATTTCCTGATACGTCATTAGCTTTGGCTCCATCAATAAATACCAGCTATAACTCTGTGGATGAACTCGACTATACAATTGAAAATATTATATAGGGAACACGCAGTCAATTCTGTAGGTCGCGCAGCCATTTAAGCGACCATTTAAGAAATTGGTGAATGTCATATCATGAATAGCAGTTGAACAATACATGAACGGTGTTAGAATGAGAAAAATATTAAGTGCCTCCGCGTTTAAAAAGTTAATAAGAAACGAATAAACATCTTGGCAATACTGGTGTAGATCACACGGAAGTGCTTAATTGTACCTTAGGCTGGCAAATGATCTAGTTCGGATATGATATGTTACTTTCAGCCGTGCCACTCCTTTATTAATAATAAGGGGCCGGTTAGCAATGGAATTTGATGTGTTGTAGAAGAGAATCGTGATATACATGTAAATTTCTCGTTATTAGTATTTCGTTATCTCCCGCTCTGAAAAAAGCTATAGACTGTTACATACTTTACCTTAAAGATTTAATCTTCGATTTCACTCACAGAATCAGTAACGCTTATGGAATTCGCATGAAAGATATAAATATCATTTGCAACACAATTACGTGTGTATCAATTTCAAAATAGAGACATGATGTGAATATTAGTATTTATTATATAATCTTCATTCTATTTAAATATGTTTCTTGTATAATAAAAACAATAAGTGTATATTAAATTATTTATTATACGTCTGTTATAGTGTTGATTCGTTGACAAATATGTTCACTTAGCGTGCATGAATGCTGAATTATAGCGCAAGTAAGTCGGTCTTGATTTCTCTTGAAAGCAATGCATCTAACATTCGTAAATAAAAAACATTGTCCGACTTTTGAAGACTTATATACAGGTTCAACTAAAACTAATTATCTTCACCGTATTGATAAATATTTACATGTTAAAACTTCTGCTGCACATAAGAAGCAATTATAAAACCGCTCTCGGCCGGTGGAAGTGAATCTGTTAATTATTCATAATAATTATTGATGTACGTTAATATTACGATTACTTAGCGGCGAGATTATTACAAAGTTTACGGTATTGAATAATATATAATATATTATATGAACGTATGTGTATGTAGATTGTAGACTAAACAAAATGTTCTGCTTATAAAGGCCTACAATTTGCTCCAATTATTGTCTTTTTTTTTAATGCTCACACGCCACACCACGTTATATAAATACTTTTAAAGACATCTTTCGAAATCTGTGTAAAACACACAGTTATTGCAAAACGACTACAAAGGTTATCATTTATCAGGGGCCCGGAGATATGTTTCTCTAAATGTACAAAAACACTTTGGCCACCAGTTCGCTTTCATTGTTAGTCACTGACACACGAAGACCTTGTAAAATGTCAAACCTTGGCGAAAAAGTAATTTTAGCTTACAGCGGTGGTCTAGACACATCCTGTATACTATTGTGGTTAAAAGAGGAAGGATATCGAGTTATCGCTTACATAGTAAGATTGTTCAGATACTAATTAGCAATTCAAATGCGCTTGAGAAATGCACTACATCGACCAATTATAATTTAGGCAAATGTAGGACAAGAGGAGGACTTTGATGCTGTTCGAGAAAAAGCATTGAAAATCGGCGCTATAAAGGTAAACGAGGATGCTTACGTTCAAACATATATATTACCGGAAACCATTCTTTCAATTATGATCTGACTTTATAGCGATAAAATCTAAGTTCTCCACTAACTTCCCACATTTTTATTAATAATTATCTGCAAGGTCGTAATCGAGGATCTCAGAGAAGTCTTTGTATCTTCGTTCGCATGGCCGGCTGTTGCATGCGGATTGATCTATGAGAACAGATATCTCTTAGGCACATCAATCGCTCGGCCATGTATTAGCGAAGGCTTGATAAGAATCGCAAAAGCTGAGAACGCTTCTATAATAGCTCACGGTGCGACCGGTAAAGGCAACGATCAAGTGCGTTTCGAACTGAGCTGCTACAGCCTTTGCCCCGAAATCCAGGTAACATGTTTTTTTAATTACATTCAACATTATCTCACTATATACATCTTTGTAATTATCTCATAGATTCTTGCGCCCTGGAGGAAACGAAAATTTTACACGAGATTTGCCGGAAGGCCGGACTTGTTAAAATACGCTCAAGAAAATGGCATTCCTGTCTCAGCAACACCGAAAGAACCGTGGAGTATTGATGCAAATTTATTGCACGTTAGGTACAACAAAGATTACGACAATAAACGTCCTATTACTTACTGATCGATTGTTTTCTCAACCATTAGACTCTCGTCAGTTAGAAAATTAAATTTTTATTGAACACGAGTCAAAAATATTATATTTATGATTTGGTAGTGGGGATCTCTTTCGAATTTATGATGATACTTTAAATTTTCAGTTATGAATCCGGAATTTTAGAAGATCCAGACACATCAGCTCCGAAAACATTATATAAAATGACGAACGATCCATTAAACGCTCTCGCGGAACCAGCAAAAATTGAAATTGGTTTCAAAGAAGGATATCCATCGTTCGTGAAAGATGTAAAAACTCAAGAGACATATGTTGCTCCTCTCAAAATAATGCAGTACCTGAATAAAATTGGCAGCCTGCACGGTATAGGACGTATAGACATTGTCGAGAATCGTTTCATTGGTTTGAAGGTATGGAAAATTTAATTTAATTAGAACCATCGTGACATTACATTGATCATACAGTCTAGGGGTATTTACGAATCACCCGGTGCTAAAATCCTTCACGAGGTGCATCAGGATTTGGAAATATTTGTGCTAGATCGAGAAGTATTAAGAATCAAATCTTATTTGACCGACAAGATGTCCGATTACGTTTACAACGGTACGATGAATTCTTTGATAAATTAATTTCACCATGATATATATATATTAAATTAAACCCGAAAATCTCTTCAGGCTTCTGGTTCTCTCCCGAATGCGATTTCGTGCGGAACAGTATACTGTACTCTCAAAAGTATGTTAACGGAACGGTTCGATTACAACTCTACAAAGGACATGGTGCGTATAAACGGAGTGCATAATAATACGTAAAAAAAGCTCACATGAAGATTAAAAAAAAATCATTTTAATCTTGCAGTCTCAATATTGGGCCGACATAGCGAAGTTTCACTGTACAATAAAGAGTTGGTCTCGATGGACTTGCGTGATGGTTTTGAACCCGAGGATGCCGGTGGTTTTATACGGACGCAAGCAAACAGGTTGAAAGAATTTTATCGTCTGCAAAACCAGAAGTCAGATTAAAGCCGTATAAGCTTCTACGAATGTATAATTCTTTGGCAGAATAAAGGACCATGAACAACATGTAACGTACTAAAATAAAATTAATGTTTTTCAACTTGGTATATAGTTTGAATATAGTTTTATTTGATGTTACTTAATTTTTGGTGGTATCTATTTCGTGCGTGAGTGGACCAAAGGCAGGAGATGTGGTTAGAGTGGAACAAAAAAGAACGCAATTACTTTCAATTAGTTATTAATAATTAAACCTTAAAATAATTAGTATAGTCGTAGATATTATAATAACGTGTAATATGCATCGTTTTTATCTGCATTAATAGTATACACAATGATCATTCTTATTCTGTCTAATAGATCCGCAACATAAGAGAAAACGTCAAATATGAGACAATAATATTTTAGTTAGTATCTCTTCTATAAATGACTATGTAATACTCTCACTCTACTCCACATACACTGTCTGTCTTTCTCTCACTCTCATTCTCTCTGTCTCTTTTTCCCTAATTTATTTATATATATATTTATACATATATATTTGTATTTATATCTTTATATATATTTATATATATATAACATGCAAAATTACAAACTAAGGAAGGTAATCCTGTATGTACGTACAATTAATAACCTGCTGTAACTCCTGTATTCACATTTATCTCGTAACTTTTAATTCGAACATGTAATAAACATTTGTTTTTTCTTAAACGTTACTTTAGGAATTAGTAGTACAAATAGTGTATGTACTAACCAATTTGACATTGTTAAGTAAACTGAGATTTTAATGGAACATAGATGCGTGTGGCATTCTATGCACTTTAAGCGAGCAATTATCGAATGGAAAACAATTGAATATTCATTCAGGACTCCTTTAGAACGTATAAATTTAAATTTTATCTCGCGACGAAGAACGTTTCTTTAAAAAATATATTATATAATACTTAAAATGTACTTTACGTATACGAGATGTATTTACGTAGAAAACTTATGTGCAATGTACTGTAATCATTTCTTTCTTCTTTTCTCTTTGAATAGATTTTCTTTTCAACAACGTGGATCAGACAAAACACAGGATAAAATGTAAGGTTTCGTTTGAACGAGTAATGGTGCAGTGGAAATCAAGGATAAACGTGCGAACGAACGTTGGCCCAGTAAACGGTTCTCTCTTACTTAACAACATCAAGCGTTTCTTTATTTTTTAGCCATTTATTCTTCATTTCAATATTATTTATGTACAACCAGCTTAATGTCTCTCTATCGTTAATCGTAATAAGTCTACTAAAACTCATGTGCCGTTGGAGATGGTGTGCGTCCGTGGGAACTTATATAAAAAATTATTTTTTGATACAGCGGAGTGATTTTGGTATTACTTACGAATTATTTTAGGTCTTTACCTAGTAACTTACACTGAGATCTAGTAGGTTATACAATCTATCGGCCTCCCTTAAATATTACAAACCTTATCACATATATAGAGGTGTATTAGTACTTATTACTTTTTTTATACATAGATATTCTGTATTCTGTTTAAATTGCTGCCAATGATTTCTTCTCGTATATACAATTACAAACCACGTATTATACAATCATAATACCTAAAACACATGCATTCTCGTATCTCTCTCTACTCTCTCTCTCTCTCTCTCTCTCTCTCTCTCTCTCTCTCTCTCTCTCTCCCTCTCATTCTCNATCGTCTGCAAAACCAGAAGTCAGATTAAAGCCGTATAAGCTTCTACGAATGTATAATTCTTTGGCAGAATAAAGGACCATGAACAACATGTAACGTACTAAAATAAAATTAATGTTTTTCAACTTGGTATATAGTTTGAATATAGTTTTATTTGATGTTACTTAATTTTTGGTGGTATCTATTTCGTGCGTGAGTGGACCAAAGGCAGGAGATGTGGTTAGAGTGGAACAAAAAAGAACGCAATTACTTTCAATTAGTTATTAATAATTAAACCTTAAAATAATTAGTATAGTCGTAGATATTATAATAACGTGTAATATGCATCGTTTTTATCTGCATTAATAGTATACACAATGATCATTCTTATTCTGTCTAATAGATCCGCAACATAAGAGAAAACGTCAAATATGAGACAATAATATTTTAGTTAGTATCTCTTCTATAAATGACTATGTAATACTCTCACTCTACTCCACATACACTGTCTGTCTTTCTCTCACTCTCATTCTCTCTGTCTCTTTTTCCCTAATTTATTTATATATATATTTATACATATATATTTGTATTTATATCTTTATATATATTTATATATATATAACATGCAAAATTACAAACTAAGGAAGGTAATCCTGTATGTACGTACAATTAATAACCTGCTGTAACTCCTGTATTCACATTTATCTCGTAACTTTTAATTCGAACATGTAATAAACATTTGTTTTTTCTTAAACGTTACTTTAGGAATTAGTAGTACAAATAGTGTATGTACTAACCAATTTGACATTGTTAAGTAAACTGAGATTTTAATGGAACATAGATGCGTGTGGCATTCTATGCACTTTAAGCGAGCAATTATCGAATGGAAAACAATTGAATATTCATTCAGGACTCCTTTAGAACGTATAAATTTAAATTTTATCTCGCGACGAAGAACGTTTCTTTAAAAAATATATTATATAATACTTAAAATGTACTTTACGTATACGAGATGTATTTACGTAGAAAACTTATGTGCAATGTACTGTAATCATTTCTTTCTTCTTTTCTCTTTGAATAGATTTTCTTTTCAACAACGTGGATCAGACAAAACACAGGATAAAATGTAAGGTTTCGTTTGAACGAGTAATGGTGCAGTGGAAATCAAGGATAAACGTGCGAACGAACGTTGGCCCAGTAAACGGTTCTCTCTTACTTAACAACATCAAGCGTTTCTTTATTTTTTAGCCATTTATTCTTCATTTCAATATTATTTATGTACAACCAGCTTAATGTCTCTCTATCGTTAATCGTAATAAGTCTACTAAAACTCATGTGCCGTTGGAGATGGTGTGCGTCCGTGGGAACTTATATAAAAAATTATTTTTTGATACAGCGGAGTGATTTTGGTATTACTTACGAATTATTTTAGGTCTTTACCTAGTAACTTACACTGAGATCTAGTAGGTTATACAATCTATCGGCCTCCCTTAAATATTACAAACCTTATCACATATATAGAGGTGTATTAGTACTTATTACTTTTTTTATACATAGATATTCTGTATTCTGTTTAAATTGCTGCCAATGATTTCTTCTCGTATATACAATTACAAACCACGTATTATACAATCATAATACCTAAAACACATGCATTCTCGTATCTCTCTCTACTCTCTCTCTCTCTCTCTCTCTCTCTCTCTCTCTCTCTCTCTCTCTCTCCCTCTCATTCTCACGTTCACACTTCATTTTCCATTATATATTCTTTCTCTTTCTCACCATCGGACTCGCTCTCTCTCTCTCTCTCTCTGTTGAACCCATTTTTTTCAATATTTTCTTTCTTTTTTCTTTAATTTTAGAATTCGTGTCACGATTGAGCTTGTTATACATCAATGCGGCGCCGTTAATATCCTTTGCATCTGGAGGAATTCTTTGAAAGGTTCGAAGACACTTACGATTGGTCGTTCTAACGATACTGCACAAAAGAAAAAGAAAATCACGATGATCAGAAGACAAGCATTTGTAGCACGAAATCCCTGAACACCCGTCGCGAACCGGCAGGGGGTGAATTGATCAGTCCCCCGACTACACTCAAGATACGAAGAATGAAATCGCTAAAGAATAGTCGACAGAGAATACAGTTAAATACGCGTCGATCTTGCACAAAAAAGAAATCGCCATCGCTGGCAGACAATTCGCTGTTTCTTTCCTGTGAAAGATCGGTTCGCTACATTACGCGCTAATACAGAAAAAATCAATCGTAAAATTATGTTCCTAAAACACATTCGACACTCTTCACGAGTCTTGAATACAATCGTGTCGATCTATCGTGCCATAGATGGACGTTCTATAATAAATAGGGGTAAACAGGTTCCCGAAATTTTGTGTACCCGAGCCTCGGATCAGGTTTGCCATTAGTCGGGTCGGGTCGGGTCGGGTCGGGGCCCGAAACTTTCGGGTACTCAAAGTCATATCGGGACCCGAAAACTTTCGGGAACACGAAAATTCTCGGTGCACGATTTCAAATTCGGGTACTCGAACTTTCCGGGTTATGTCCCGAAGAAAATGCCCAACCCGATTTTAACCCGAAATCTCGGGTACCCGCCCACCTCTAATGACCGTGTACCGCATTCGAATATCAGATATATCGGATTTGTAATCAAACGCGATACACGCGTTGGTCGAGCACGGTCCCAATTACCTCGTTCGGCTACCGGCACGATCAATAAACTCGTCCGATCCGAGACAATAGAAAACTCATTAGCCCTCGAAACACCGCGCTTCACACCGAAAGAACACGCTCGCCGATCATACAAAGAACAAAGGAAGGAGCACGATCGATCGTACTTCGTGCTTCCTTTTTTCGTTGGGCATCGGCGGCACTTATTTCCCGCTTTCTCGAGAGAAATTGTTCTACCACATTAAGTGCATACAACAACAATTAACATACACATGACTAAATCATTGTACATACTAAACCGCAAGCACTGACATTCGCGGCAAATAGATTGCTAAAGGTTCAGAGAACCAAGATTCGTCAAAAATCTTGAATTTTGATTAACGAACACCGAGGGAACCCGGTCCGTCCGGTCCCGTGCCGGTGTATTAAATTAAAAAGACATAGACGATTAGTCTAGTGTATTGCTAGAATTAGTATCGACGATCACCGAGTGTGAGGCCGTACTGATATGAAAGCGCACACAACACGTGGAAACGAAGATCATTCCCACGAAAGGAATCGATGTTGGTCATCGACGAAAGTCTTTTCCGATCATCTCCGATGCACTCAACAACGAAAACAGGGTCGCAAATAACGGCGTGGAACGGGCTCATCCTCGTCTCCCCGTACTCGTCCAGTCGTGTATCTTTCGCCGTAGTCCGATCGTCCTGTTCCCTCCTGGAGTATTTTGTATCAGTGGTAAATAAAACACGCGTTTAAACCCTTCGTGGAATATATCGCACGGACATCGCAACATTTTCTTTGTTTTCTTCGATCGATGGATTTCCACACTTAGAAATTCTAGTTCCTTCCTCGATTGCAATTTCTACAGAAACTAGAACCATACACACGCACACATGATTACATTACGCTACGTGGACACTAACAACGTGCTTTCTCGCTTTCTCTCTCCCTCTTTTTCTTTTTTGTATTCGATACACGCACCCTACGCTCTCCTGTTCGCCATTATGCTGACATATCTTTCCCGTTACTTTAACTCCACACATGTTCGGAGAAAGCGCTCAAGGAACCTGAACAAATATACGAAGCGACAGTATCGGTTCTAAACACGGATTCAAGGAAACAATTTTCTCTGTACACACTGTAACGTTACACACGGCGATCTTTCGGCGAGGGGCTCGACGTTTGAATGCGGTATGTCCAATTTGTTAACAGAATTCTTTAGGTTTTTAAAGAGCTTGTTCTCGTTTCTACTGTGAAAATATTCCCTTTCAGTTGAAGTTAAAGTGATCAGTAATGTTTATATATTTGTAGAAACATCTCGTTATGGCAAATCGATCGATTACCATTTGTAATACACTAACTACCTGGTACATTCACCATGTACATACATAGATTTGAACTTTATCATTGAACGAGACTAAACGAATTTTTATAAATTAATTATTGCAAAATGTTGTAAATGTGTTTGATTTTAATTTAAACATAGAACAAAGATAAATTATTATTTTGAAGATATTATTTTAAGAGTGTTCCTAATGTTGAAAAGTATTGAACTGATAAAGTTCAAATGCACGTACGAAGGTAACTACATTTGTATAAATTTTTAATTTGTCATCACCAGAGGTTCCTATAAATATACAATAATTTCTCAAAATGATTCCCTGCCCACAAATCCAAATTGGTCCACTATATAACGTGGTCTTTTCTTAAAGCATTTGAAAATTTGAGTGACATGATACAGTTGGGACAAATCATGTATTATGGGGAAAAAACCGCGGAATAAATAATTATACGCTATGCATTTACAACCGATGATCAGTATCGCGCACACTTTGTAAATTTTCTTTTTTCGTCAAACTAATTCGTTTCAATGAAGGTTCTAACATCGTGATTATTAGTGTGTTTGTACCGGATTGCGTTTCTTCTTTCAAAGCTACAAAGCACTTGGTCTACTTTCACATGTGTTTTCGCGACACGTGTACAATATAAATCTTTCGTTTTGATTGAAGAGAAAGTAAAATTTCGTTTTTAGTACCACGAACTATTTTCGTGTCAGCGTCGCACATTCCTTCGATCCAAAAATATTGTTCTGCTACCATGAAGAAAAGATATTTGCAGGTTTGAAGAAGCTCTTAGAAACGTAAAATTGCACGTAACGAAATAATTTAAAAATCATAATAATATAGCAATATTATTATTTATAATGTAACTCATAATAACTCTCATTATCAGCAAAGTTGCGCACTGTCTACGCGATCATCATTGTCACAACTACTACGAATTCAATTACTTCCTTACAAAAAAAAAAAACGAAATGAATCCCAATGTAATAATAGCGAGTAATAGTAGTAGTAGTAGTAGTAGTAGTAGTAGTAATAGGTAGTAGTAGTAATAGTAGTAGTATTACGAAATATATGCAAACTTTAATTAGCCATCAAATTCTCTTTGCGGTTAAATATTGTTTTTTGTACTTTTTCCTGATCAAAGATTATATTTTTTTATTCAAGGCATTCATATTCGCGGAACGATTTGATTACTTTTCCTTTATAAAATTTCAATCGACCGTTGCACGTACGCAACGCCTTGATACTCGTTTTTTAAATAATTTTCCTCTTTGCATTATTAACGCCTTATTGAAATCCCTTTCCATTATTATTATTTTTTTGTGATACCTTACTTTGTCGAACAAATAGATATAATTCATTTCTAGACAGTTTCCCACTTACGAACCGATATTATGTCACGTTCTCCTATTCCACGATACTAAAGCATACCAGGGTTTAGGTACATACGTCTGAATTGATCTAATAGTTGGTAGGATCGAAAACTACAATCATTCTATAATCACCTTACCGTTACTCGTAATAATTGACGACTTTGTTCTAAGGTGAGTTTTACAAATAATCTTCGCCTTTTTTTTCCTTGCATCTTTAAATTCATATCAACCGATTGGCCCTTTCTGACTCCGTAAGCCTGATAACTGATAGTCATACGCGGCCTATCGTGATGATCGATTATGATATTAAATTCACCAATGTGTATGTTCGCAATAGGTATATTTTCTTCTATATTATTGACTTAACAAGCCTACCTATTTCATGATTACAAATAGCGTATATTCATAATCGAGAAAACAAAATCTGCAATGAAATTAATAATAGTAGCTAATAATTATATGGATTATTAGCGAAAACACTGTCTATGTAATCCTACCAACGATTAATGACTGAATGTGGAAAAATATAAAACTTAACTAAATGTACACAACTTTCACTCTTCCCCATGTACACAGTTTCTCTTTTTCGCGCGCGCGCTACATTCATTCATCGAGTACGCATTCATTCATTCATTCATTTTTTCACATTCAATTCCTCTCCCTGTCTCTCTCTATCTCTCATACATATATGACACGCATTCTTTTCCTTGTTCGCGTCCTTCCTTGCACTTATCTTCTCTGTAGTATTTTTTCTTTTGTTTCCAAATTTACATAAAGTACAAACTTATGAAAACCGGAAAAATGTAACACAATAATCAGTGTAGCATTCTCAAAATGTCGTGTAAGTATTTTATCTAATTACATGGTCACACTCCGGTGTCCGTCGGTTACACACAATTAGTACTGCGTCATTTAATAAACTGTCTCTTTGAGTTGCCCGTGTCACGCGGACAATTGTAATTAGGATTCTCCGTTGGAATGTCCCAACCCGCATCACCATTTTTGTTTACTATTACACACCGATTCGCTTACTTCAGTTTATTGTTTGCCCTCTTCTGGTTTCATTTTTAAATTATTATTATTATATATCGTTTCAATCCATTATTGACTGACGTATATATTAATACGTTTTTTTTCTGCTTTATCGTCCAGTGCCAAACACACATCCAAATCCTGCCCGGGTTCATTGGGTACATAAAGAGCAGCAAATAACATTATAACGATTCCTCAAATGCGGCCATCAAATCACTTTGCATGTTCATATCAATCTGACCAGCCATCTGAAATAATAAATACATCCTATTCTTGGCGAGTTCGCCTACAAAAGCTGTAGTTCATTGTGAAAATTCATTCACAATGTATTATTGTACGCAGCATATCTATGTCAAGTATGGTCAGTACATTATCCCTTATAAAGTATTTAAAGTACTAATGTTATGTTTATGTGAATGCAGACGGCGCAAATTTTTCAGAGAAAAACAACTTTTTTACATTACTAACAATTTTAGCACCATGACAAAGTTCCTCAAAAATAAGATATTTAATCGTATTACACATCAGGAAATGTATTTCTAACAGTAACTTCATACCTACATACCGATAGGTTTCTATTTAAATTTTTGTGTCATAATCGCAATAAAATGCTGAATTGAAAACCATCATGTTGATATGAGTAAAAAATCTTGTCGAGAATAATCTTTTGTTCACACTTACCGCTTCACGACGCCGCCGCTCTTGCTCCCGTAACCTCTGACGTTCTCTTTCAGCCGCGGCCTTGTCTTGACTGGATGAATGACTTGGACTACTGCTATCAGTATCGACAATAGCCTTGACCTCTTCTGCCCTCGATGCAGCAGACAGTACATTCCCCTGTTGGTCGCCAACAGTTTTCCTAACTTTATCTAGTGCGTCTTCTTCCTCTCTTTCTCTTCTTCTTTCGTTTTCCTGCCGTAAACGCTCTCTTTCCGCCTGTTCCTTCTGTTGTCTACGCATTTCTTGTTGTTCCAAGAGAGCTCTTTGCTATGGAAAGAAAAGAGAAGTTTACATACATTATCATGTGTAAACACACTAACAACACATATACAATAAAGAGACAACAAATGTTATTTATACTAACTCTATCTTGCTTTTCCTTGGCCTGCTTTTTAAATGCTTGGAATGAGTCCCTAGCAGCACTCTTCATGCTGCTTCCTGCTGTAGATTGAGGACTGGATGCTTGAGCCAGAGAAGACCATGATGAGGCATTTTTCACATTTTGTTCTACAGTCTGTAAAATAACAAATCAAATATTTCTATAATGAGAAAAATATTGTTTAAAAATGAAAGGTTTTAAATCTGATATAAACATATCAGTATTTAAGTATTTATTCCCTTACCTTATTTTTAAAAGCAGAAGCAAAATTTGAAGCAGGATTCTTTGAATCAGGCGGCGTCATCTTCTTTTCAGGCATGAGTTGCGAATTCGAATGATTTCCCATTGGTGGTATTCCTAGTGTACTCATGTCTGCAAATAGAGCTCCGGCTAGAGCAATGGCATTATATGTTTGATTAGTAAGCAGTTAATATAGCACTTTAGAATGTAAACACTTTACAAAAGTGCTATAAGGGAAGATTCATTGTAAATTTTAATCAAACTGCCACCTTTAATACTTCTGGTTATTATTTCTTTGAACTTTACAACTATTATTTCATAATCCACTTATTACGCGAGAAAGTAAAATTATTTAGTATAGCTTTTGTTACTTAGTTAGTATATTCTCAACATGAATGCAGTAAGATTAATAATTGACAAGAAGTAAAAGATTAAATTTAAATAGCATTAATATCCGATTAACAACTAGATTGTAATTAAATTGAAGCATGATATGAAACATACCATCCATAGGCTTTTGAGCCATTGACGGTTGAGAGGTGGGCAATGGTTTCTCTTCTTTCTTTATAGGCATTTGAGATATTTGCATCGGCATAGAAGTGATAGGCAGAGGATCAAAAATTGAACTCATTGCTCCCATATTCATTCCTATGTTGAGTCCAGGTATACCATTGTTATTTAACATATTAGGCGGAGAATTTTCACGTTTGATATTAGAAAATCCATTGGAATGCTGTTGTGACATTGTAGCATTATGCGAATTTTGTATATTAGTTAATGCTGAAGTGGTGTTTATCATATTCTCCAATTGATTGTGCATCGACATATGCGTTGCCAAACCTTGCGGTAAGTTCATATTAAGATTAGCCATAGTTATGTTTCCCAAATTTAGATTGGTCGCCATACTTGTAGGCATGATATTCACTGGAGGCTTTACATCTGATATTAAGTTTAAACTGTTATTGGTTGTTGTGTGTGGCGCTTGAATCATTGGTATGTGCGGTTCTTTTTTTATTGACAATGTTTGTTCCAATGATGTTTGCGTCGTAGGCACAGGAGCTAAATAAAGAAAGCATTTCATAGAAATTAATATAAGATATACGAAAAAATGTACGAAAATTACTTGAAATTATACAGATTTTATAATACTATATTAAATTATACAAAGGTTATTAAATTCCACAATCTATTTAAAAAAATTAAGTTGAAATATATATATATATTCTGTACAATTTCACGTGCACAAACATATCAGAGATTGCCGTATTCATATAAAATAACATTTAAGATAACAATTTTATCATGTTGTCAACAGTAAAGAAACATTCCTACATTATTAGGCAAAAAAACACACTATATATGAAAGTGACTAATACGTACCTAGAGTATTATATGATTGCAAAAGATCTGACTGCTGTGTTAAAGCTGTCCCATCTGCCGGTACAGGCGTGTTTGCATTTGAAAAGGAACTAACAGATGTGGGTGGCTGTGGTGGCTGAGGCACAACCGGTGAAGGTACCATAGAATTTGTGTTTGTCGGTGTAACACTTGGAGGTGGAGTTGGTACAGAAACTGATGGAGTTGATGGATTGGAAGTAGTTGGTGGTGGAGGAGTTGGCTTCTTTACAGGTGCTGCTGTAGCCATAGCCGTAGGTCGCGATGGTTGCGCTGGCATAGACGTGTGACTTGCTACAGGCATTCCTTGACCAGCTGTAACAGCTGCTACTGCCACAGACTGTTGATTATTACCACCTAATAGAAATATTAACATAGACTTTAGTAACTCGTATTACACACTATGATACTGTATTGTAACTTTATTGAAAGATGAGAACATGATACGACGTGCTTTTTACATTATATGTTTTTATACGTCGCAGTATTAAACTAAATGTGTTACTAAAACTGTCACATACTCCACGAAATTTTCATAAAGTCACTTCTATTATAAGCTGGATATCATCATTGGGACATTATATTTCACCAAATAATCATAGTAGCATTATTAAAATTTTGTATACTGTATGGAACAATTGCACCTGTAACCTGCATTAGTTACAAAATTTATAATATAACAATAATCTTAAATTCTTCCAATCTTCTTACTATTAAATATATCATCTAGTCATTTTTGTTATAAATGCATAAATTCCTCAGTCTGATTACATATATGTGGCGTAATAATTTCATTAAAAGCATATGTATTACACACCTTGTTCTGAAGATATATTACTAGGTTGAGTTACAGCTGTTTTTGTTATTGGTCCCGTGGAATTTGTTGGGGGTTGATTGTTCATTAAAAGACCTCCACTGTGATTCAATGTAGTTGCCTGTAGAGTGTACTATAACTTAATATAGCGTATACAAATACCAATTTCTTTGTATATGCCAAAAGTTTTGCATTATATGTGATTTGTTGTCGTTTTTATGATATTAATACTGTATACCTTTAGATGCAAGTAGAATCAATGCCTTGTACAATTGATACCTTAATTATTATAACATAGAAAGAATCAATTGTAGGATTACTAAATTACTAATATTAAAATAAAATATTTCAATTACATTTAGAAATCGTACAATAGATGAATAATGTTATAATTTGTATAATCGCTGTTACTATGTCTTACCCACAGAATATTATCTTACCGGTGCGGTAGAAGTTGTTGTTGATGGTTGTCCTGTACTTGGTGTATTCTTCTTTGCTTTCTTTCTTGGGGGACGATTGGAAGAGTTTCCTGTAATTCAATGTAACATGCATCTAACTGTGAATATTGTGCATTCAACGAATTTCTCATTACAAGAGACAGTTCGATGAAAACATAGTGAAATGCAGTGTGCAGAGAGGATACCAGCCATGAGTGTTGTGTTTGCCAAGACACGAACTAAATATTAAGTATACTAGAAACAAAATTAAAAAACTTCGAGCATATATTTTCTAATAGATTTTATTCATATGCTTATATTATAATTGTATCACTGTGTACAACAATGTTAATTTAAATATCTCAATTGTATGATTTTTGTGGACTTTCATCTTAATGATTTTTATATTAAAAAATTTTTAATGCGCAGAACAATTCATTCTTTTCTCATTCTACATAAAGTTAGTTGTATTCAATTCATTTATGAATAATTGCGTGTGCATATATATATATATATGTATACACATCATAAATACATACATACATACCACGCGCGCGCACATACATACACGCTCACGTGTTGCGAAACTGCCGCACATACATACATAACACTATATATGTATGCGAGAGCGCGCACTTTCCTTTCTATAAGGATAATAATAATAATAGTAACAATAATAAGAATAATAGTGATTATTACAATAATAATCGTGACAGTGGCGAAAATGATGATTACAAAATGTTGACTACAAAAACCATCAAACTGCCTTTTCTTTAATTTTCATACAGCGTAATGTAATATAATATAATTAATGTAATATAATAATAGAATTAATGCAAATAAAAGTCACGTAAATAGTACAATGTGGACTCAACTTAAACATGAATGATACAAGAGTGTCACACTCTTACAAGTAGTTTGAAACATAAATTCAAGTCGTAGTTAGCACAACATTGAGATCGGTGGCAAGATACTCCTGCTCGGTGTCTATAGTATTAATTGTATCAGTTATAAAAAGCAACTCTAATACTACATTTATCCTGATACATGTTCGCAATGAATTCATGTTTGCAATGGAATGGTTAATAATAGATTAAAATTTATGAAATGTACAATACAAGAGAAAATGATTGCAAGAAGACATAGTGAAGATCTAACAAAAACATCGAGTAGGAGTTCCAGTGTATCTTAATTTATATAATATAGTTAACTGGACCACCAAATGAGCCAACCCCGACTCTAAACGACCTCAAAGAATTAATATTCTGTTTACATCACTCATCTACTTTTGTGTATGCATTTAAAAAAGTCTTCTGTGTATCGCCTTCATTTATAACTTACATCTATTATTAATATTTTATGATATATTAGTTTTCACTATGTACAAAACGCGTATGCTTGTGTACTGTTGCTATGCAATGTCGTGATACGCAGAAAACAGATGGAACGTACGTACAACTTTTGAGAGAGGAGACAGTAGTTTTAAATAAAGGAGCATCTCGAAGCATAACAAAATATCGAGTTCGTTAAATCTGCTTTTGCGTATGACGATCTAGAAGGAAGAATGATGTTCCAGTCTGGACAAAGATGCGAAAAAATTTAGACGCGTGCTTGTATATGGAATAAATGCTACAAAAATTTTGGAAGGCAATATTAATATTATTATAAAATGCCCTATACCTTGCATTACAAGCTAATGGTGATTGTATTAATAGATGCATAGTTTCTATCTAATTCAGCACACGCCATCAATTTGATCTCACATAGTCTAACTAATTAATTGGAAACCTTTCCTCTATTTACTTTCAATATTTTAGAAAACATAAAATGATGAATTATTCTGATCAACATTTCTTTCTACTTTAATATATATAATTTTCTTTGGAAATCAATGAACCTTTCTGACCGATTGTAGCTTTATTCTTTCCGTTTTTGTTTTAATAAAATTAATAACAAATAATTTATTTTTCTACTTCTTTTGCTGGAACAGTAAGTACGCTGCTGACCGTATGATTAATGATACAATTAAATTGTACTGACGTGAATTTGATCACTTTTTTTTTAATGTTCATGTTATACAACATCTTGAAGCATAAAGTGCTTTCATAAGCACCTTAGAATCTTATATCAGTTACGTCCAGAACTTCTTATGTATATATTTTGCTATATATAAGAACTAAATTTACATGATATTTCAACAAAAAACGCTATCATGAGCAGACATTTACACATAGAAATATAAGAACAAAATATCACTAAAATTAACTTCATTCAAATTCGTATAAAAGATTTTCTAAAAATGTTTTAATAGGACGGGTTAAAATTAATATTATTTCGAACGCTTTTACAACGTGAGTACTTTGAATCAATAGTACGTATTATGCATATTTCCAAATTATTTTGCTGAGAGAAATCAGGTTCATTTTTAACAAATGTAATTATTTAATATAAGTTTCATAGCAGGATATATAACGCTACACCGGCCTACACAATTTACTGACATTCGATTGAACAGAATCAAAGTCTGTCAATATTTTGTTTTTGTAATTCGAAAAGTGAGAAAACTAACAATGGATACCAGTCAAGAACTAGTGGTATATAAAACAATGAAACGACGATTAGCAAAGCTTAGCGGAGTGCAAACAATGTGTTTGGAGGCTAGGGTGCCTTGTTTCTATTGTAGACCATTTCCTCAACCTGCTCTCGTTTCTGTTTCATCTACCATTCCCTTCTCTTTCTTTTACTTACAAGTAACATGAAAATTACACTTTTCTGTCTGTGTCATCTATACACTCCCCTTGCCTTTCTCTTTCTCTGATATGTTAACATAAACCTTGTATGCTCAAAGTCATCAACCTTATAAAAAATAAATGGAAATCGTTGATTGTATCACATATCACATCATTCTCCGCTGAATTTATGTCTGTATTGTAACAACCTTTATCACCGACCCACATACTTAGAGGAAGATTTAAAAACTTCGGTTTAATTTCACTGCTTCATCTAAATAATATAGCATACTATTACACCAAAGCGTATTTATGAGACGATAAAGATTAATAATTGACATTTTAAAGGAAGCACCACTTCTTTGGCTTTATCAAACTAAACTTAGTTAAGAAATGGAAATAGCAATATGAGGTAATATCAGGTAAGAGCTTTTAAAAAATATTTTAAACTCTAAAATTGTTTGCGGAGACGATATTAACTCGAGAGTGTATTTAATTAGACTATTTTGACGCGAAAGCTGTGGATTATAACAACCTTAGACTGCTGATTCGCAAATCCAGCCACCAATACACATTGTCTGCATTTGTTTTCCGTGTGTATCATAATATTACTGCCTAATTTGTTCCTCTCAAGTATTGACCATTAAGATCCACGTAGTTTTAGTCCTTGGAAATCAATTACAGTGTTCAGAAGCCTAAACACAGTTCTCACGTCACTCGGGTAATAAGTGTATGTTCACACTTAATGTAATAATGACGCTTGTTCAATATCACTGTACTGCTCTCTGATAAATGATACGACATGAATGAACCAATGCGAGGAAACAAACTTAATGATTTAAAAAACACAGTGATACAAGTAATGCTCTGCTTATCAATTAATGTAAATAAATATTAAGTTTGCAAGAGTTAATATATTGCATGATGTTGCTTGGGTTATGTAGGGCAATATAATTGTCAGGAAAAGCTACAATGTAAAAATCCAAGGTACCAACATTTGACACTACAGTCTTTACTGCATTTGTGCACTTCATATACACATTGATGCAATTTTCTTAAACATTACTAAGTCAGAAACCTTACCATTTCTTTCCTCATCATTTTCAATATAATGTACTTATACATACGGTAGATCAACATTTTCAATATCATGTACTTATATGTATGGCAGAAACATGTGACTGCAGTGAAAAAATTCAGTAACCTTGAATAGCAAACTATACTTGACTTTCGAGCAACAGAATGTATTGTCAACACCGACAGGGCAAGAGAAAATATAAGTAATCATTTTTAATCAATAATATAATCTGTGAAACAAGCTGGCATGGCATATGGTATCCTCTAAACACAGTCTGCACTCCACTAGCTCACCTTTTTTCTTACCATTGCATATTCTCTTGTAAATTAAATAGAAATTCTTTAAATTGTGTCAAGTTTCAAATTTCGTATTTAGAAAAATTTTTAAAGTTATTATTGCTTAAAAAAATACATACCAATTTAAGCAAGTTTATAATGACAGAGTGTCTATCATTCTATTGCAAATTTTACAGTGATGAAACTTGACACGACATTCGTACTTGCATTAATGTAACGCAGCACTTAAGCTACACGAATAACGCCGTCCTAATAAATACAATTAATAAGCAAGATTTAGCAGCTTAAGAAGATATTTGCGATGCATTTTGTGCAGTCAAACCCCGTTTGAAAAATCTATGTGTGTCTAATTCACCACTGCTGCATAGATATTGTTGCATCTGCATTGTTGCACCGGTATTTTCGATTATTTTCGTTTCAAATGCCAATACAAAATTGGTTAGGCACAGAGTTCATCTTACTTTTTAAATTTTAAGTCTTCACCAAATCATGCGGCATCGAATTCTATATTTTTATCGTTTCATATAACACTACTATCCTTGTAGTGTTTATAAATGTTTTTTTTTAAGAATATATCTAATCTGTTTAATATTGTTTCAGTTGCTATGATAACATATGTATATGAAAAAATGATGTTAATGACCTTGAGACCTGACATTGAAGTGTTATTATTACTATTTTCTTATTTAACCATTCCATCACTACACTTGTAGTATTAATTGTATCTTATTTGCATATATTTGTCTGTTGCACGCAAATTCTTATTACAAAAGACTGTATAATGTTAAAAGACCAAAAATTATTAATATTTGAACATAAATATAATAAATCTGTAATCATATAGCAACTGAAGATATACACAAAGAAAAACATGCATAAACAGTAACATTCCTTCTATGCAATAAAACGAAATCAAAATAGAACTAACTTTATTTTTGTATCTTTATGTAATTGCAAGTATCCGCATGAAATGGTGAATAACTTTATTTAAAAGAACTAGAAGATTCACGTCTATGAATTTTATGTTTTACTTGGAATAACGATTTCTTTCTTTTTTGTCTCAAATGAACACTCTTACCTGAGAAATCAATGAATGTACAAATTAACTGTTATACTACTAAGAATATATTAAAAATAGAATGTATAAACTATTTCATCACATCACAAGAAAGCAGAATAAAAAATAAAATAATATATACTGAATGTAC